AGGGAGGCCGCTAGTCTCTCCCCGAGTGTCCTGCGGTCGGGCGGGATCCGTGGTCGTTCGCCGGGGTTCCTCAGGGCGCGTGCTTGTGTCAAGCGGGGTTCTTCGCTCGGGGGTCGTGTGGGTTGGTTCTCTCCCTCTGCTTGGGGGGTTTTGTGGCTGAGTCGCGTTCAGGAGGCGTTTGAAGGATTGTGTGTTGACGAAAAAAAAGTGATCGGAAATACCCTTGTCCGTTGAGACGTTGTGGCGTTGTGGAGTAAGTCTGTAGGCCTCATTGCTTGGTATTCTTTTTACTGCGTTTCCTGATATGAGAAGAAGGAAGAGAGAGTGAAGAAAAATATTCTTTGGACTTATTATCACTTTAGGGGAAAAAAAAGAAATTGAATCAGTGTTAGTGTAGAAAGGAAGAGAAGACAATGACCTTCCCTTTTATTCTTAGAAGCTCTTTTTACCATCTTATGAGCGCTTTGTGACACGGCGTTTGGGTTACCTGTGAGAGAAAAAGAGAGAAAATAATAAGGAGAATGCAGATATACACAGTAGAAAAACAAGAATTAAGAACAACGAAGGAAAGGAAAGAAATGAAAGAAGTGGAGACGAAAAAGCATATGGGGAAGAAATAGTACGTAGAATACCTAAAGAACAGAACAAAGGAGAGCGGGAGAAAGACCTTTTTTTTAAAGCAATGGCGTTCCCATTAACGCCTTCGAACGCAGCCAGGACAGGAGGGAGTTTATCGCCCTTGGATCTCGCCGGCGCCCTCGGAGTGTGAGGAAGGTCCTGCTCCACACCTCCTGCAGGATGACGCAGAAGAAACAAATTACAGATACCGGTAAGACTCAATACTGACGGAAAGGAGAGAGAGAAGAGAGAAAAGAGAAATGAGAAAGAGAGATAATTAGATCATTTATGTTAAAGTGGGTTATTCTACATGCGGTAGAAAAACAAAATACAAATATTTTTGTTTTGCGCTAGAATGCAATTAAGCGCTCAGTTGCATATTGCATTGTTATTGCCAGAAATTGTAGCGGTATTTTCCATTGAATTTATTTACTCTTTCTCGTGTTTATCCTTGAAATAATATTTTGCAATGACTTGGCAATCACACCCCGCAGTGATTTATCTCTGGACGGTTTGCAACAAAGCCACGGTCGTGCGTCTTGAAGAGCTGAGTTGAATTGCAATTACGTGCGTTGTTGTTGTTGTTTTTTACGTCGTTGACCTCCGTTTTTTGTTGATATTTTATTCGTCTGCTCGATGATTTTTCCGCTTTACATTTCACCAACGCTTGATAATTCTGCTGCATTGTTGAGCTTTCGTTGGCAGCGTTTCTTTAATACAATTGAAAGAATGTAAAAAGCGAAGGGAGGAAGCGGGAGGAAGAATAATTAAAAGAAAGAGAGAGAGAGAAAAGTTTTTATTTCGATAGTATGATCCCTAACTCGGGCTCGGAAACTGTACGGTTAAAATAAGGGCAAAGATTTTAAGGTCGTTTCGCCGTCTGCAACATTCAGGGTGACCTTTCGGGCGAGGGAGAACGCAGCCCTTTTTGATTGGTTTGTTCAGCCGATATGTTTTTTTTTTTTTTTTTTGGGGGGGGGGGGCGCCACGCTTTTAAGGCACTGCAGTTGTTTTTCTTCTTTTCCCCTTTTCGTCTTCTTGCTGTTATTACGATCGTTATGATTATTGTTATTTTTTATTTGTTATTGTTGTTTTATTGTTATCATGATTCTTTTCTTTTCTTTCTTCTTTCTCCTTCTTTTTCTTCTTCTTCTTCTTCTTTTGTGAATTGTGATAAATTTGATCAGATATTAATACGGGGACATAATTAGTTCCAAAAATTCGTTTATGAGACGAGTCGGTAACCAGAGATGTTCAGAGAAGCAATATAGAGAACATGAGAGGAGGAGGAGGGGGGGTGGGGGTGTTCCGCCTTTACAGGTCCCGGATGTCCGTCCATTCCGCCCGTGTAGAGAGTTTAACCCACAGGGCTTTGGTACAGATATCGACACGGCTTGTATTCGTGTATATAATTGGAGGGTTGGAGGAGGAGGAGGAGGAGGAGGAGGAGGAGGGGATGATTGTAATTGAAATTCAAGATGTACGTGGAGAGAGAGAGTGAGAGTGAGAGAGAGAGAGAGAGAAAGAGAGAGAGAGAGAGAAAGAGAAAGAGAGAGAGAAAGAAAGGGGGGAGGGAAAGAGAGAAAGAAAGAGGGAGAGGGAGAGAGAAAGAAAAAGAGAGAAGAGAGAAAGAAAGAGAGAGAGAGAGAGAAACACACACACAGAAATACAGAGAGAGAGAGAGAGAGAGAGTGAGTGAGTGAGTGAGTGAAAGAAAGAGAGAGAGAGAGGGGGAGAGAGAGAAAGAAAGCGAGAGAGAAAGAGAGAGAGAGAGAAAGGGAGAGAAAAAGAAAGAGAGAAAGAGAGATACACACACACACACACAAATACAGAGAGAGACAGACAGACTGTAGAGCGAAGCAGCGCGCCAGAAATTCCTGCGGCCGAGTTCACCTTCAGTGACATCACCGCCCGGGTTCGAGTCTGGCCTCCTGATGCCCGCGTCGAGTCCGGCACTGCAGAACGGTGGGGCGGGGGGCGGGGCGCGGGGGGGTAGTGGATTAATAACGAACAAAGGCCGAAAACCGCTACGGCAGCCTTCGTGATAGTGGAGTTAGTGTGGCTTGCTTATCCGGGCGATATTTATTTTATTTATTCATTTTTATTTTATTTTCGTTATTCATTTTTATGTTTTATCTTATTTTATTTATTTTTTTTTTGTGTGAGTGTGTGTGTGTGTATGTTTTTTTTCGATTTTCCAGAAGTGATCAGGTGGTTCGGGTCGTAAACATTCGTGAATCACGATTTCCTCCGCTCCGTATCCTACTTATATCTTCTTCTTCTTCTTTTCTTTGTTCTGACCCGTTTCCATTCTGTTGCTCTGAAATCCATGAAGTATTTTCTTTATCGTGTGTTTCTTTTGTGTTTCGTGTTCTCTCTCTTATTTTTTATTCTTATTATGAATTTCTGATTTTTTTTCTTTCTTTTTTTCCACGTCTTTTTTTTTTTCTTTCTTTCTTTCTTATGAATTTATTGCTTTAATGTTACGAATAAATCTTTCCGGCCTTTCGTGAACTGATATCGCATCGCGTGAGCGGGGAATGACGCCGGAAGATGGAAAGAGGAAGAGAGAGAGAGAGAGAGAGGGAGAAAGAGAGAGTGAGAGAGAGAGAGAGAGAGAGAGAGAGAGAGAGAGAGGTAGAGAGGTAGAGAGGTTGAGAATGGGGGGGGGGCGAGGAGAAGAGGGGAAAAGAGAAGGGGTTGAGAGAAGGAGAGAAAGGGAAAGAGAAAGATAAATAGAGAGCAAAGGATGGAACGAGAGAGAGAGAGAAAGAGAAAAAAAAGAGCAAAATATAAAAGAAATGAGGTTGGGGGAAAAACTGTGTCAAGGGAGAGAGAGAGAGAGAGAGAGAGAGAGAGAGAGAGAGAAGGCGGAGAGCAAGAGAAAAGCAGAAAAGCAGAGGCCCCACAATTAGGAGCGCCTCGAAGGAGTTCCCAGGGAGGCGTCCAGGGGGGGGAGGGGGAGGGGGGAAGGGAGGGGAGTGGTTGGGGTCGTGAAACATCCTCAAGGTCGTGTTAGGAGGGGAGGGGGAAAGGAGGGGGGGGTATGAGTCAGGGAGAGGGAGGGGCGGAAGGGGTGTGTTTCGTCCGGCGAAGGATTCTCCGCTCGCCCCAGGATCTCTGTTGCTCCTACGTGCATCTTCGAGTCTATACGAGCGACGGTTAGGATTCCCTCCCCTCCCCCCTCCTCCCCTCCCCCTCCCCCCCTCCCCTCTCCCCTCTCCCTTCTCCCACCGAGTGCTTTTATTATTTTCTGTGATTGTTGTTGTTGCTGCTGTTATTTTTTTTCGGTAAGTGTGTTTGTTTTATTTTATTTTTATGATTATTATTTTTGTAGTTGTTGTTGGTACTTATTTTTTTTATTTCCCCGTTAAGTGCATTTAGTAGTTTTATTATTATTATTATTATTATTATTATTATTATTGTTGTTGTTGTTTTCTGCTAGGTTAATTTTTATTGTCGCTGTCTGTCGTTTGTTGATTTATTTATCATTATCTCTTGTTGAATTTGCATGAGGACAGGCATTACGTGGTATGCATATTAACAAAGCTTCTGATCATGAAGCAGAATCTCAAGGATTTAATCAAAGACCTGTTTTCGGTCCTACATTATGCATGTGGAATATACCAAGCATAGTCGCTTCTCAGATCATTACGATAAAGATGATATAAAGGATTATGCACGGAAGGAAAATCGGGTTAAAATGAGGACCAAAATGGGTTAATCTCCCCCCCACCCCCCCACCCCCTCCCCTTTGCCCTATAGATCGGGGCGCCCTTCCTCAATGCCCAAAGCCACCTGCCGAAACCGTATCAGCTTTAGTCGTTCTAATCATGATCTCATTACCTTTGAAAATCGGCCAAAGGGGGAGGAAGGGAGGGGGGGGGGGGAGGGGTCCGGTCGAAGGGGGTGAGGGGGTAGGGGGGTCCGGCTGAAAGGGGGTGAAGGGGGGAGATGGGTCCGGTCGAAGGGGGGTGAGGGGGTAGGGGGGTCCGGCCGAAGGGGGGGAGGGGGGGTCCGGTCGAAGGGGGGTGAGGAGGGAGGGGGGTCCGGTCGAAGGGGGGTGAGGGGGTAGGGGGGGTCCGGCCGAAGGGGGGTGAGGGGGAGGGGGGTCCGGCCGAAGGGGGGTCAGCGGGGTAAAGGGTTTATTGAAGGTGGGGAGAGGGGGTCCGGCGGAAGGTGAGGGGGGGGGGTCCATTGAAGGTGGGGTCAGGTTCAAGGGCCGCCCCTCTTCAGCGCCGGGTCCAAGGCCGTCCACGACACGCCACGCGCCGGGGGGAACGACGCGCCGGGGAGGGGGGAGGGGAAAGGGGAAAGGTGGAGGGGGGGGTGTCTGGATGCTCAACACGGGGAGCAGGACGCACACGCGGTCTGGGATTTGTTTGGTTTGGTTGTATTCTGGTCTGTTTATCATTAGTTTATTTAATTATGTGGTTCCTTCGTCTCTTTCCCTATTGCCTCTTCGTATTTATTTTCTCTTCTATCCCGATTTCTCTCCGTTCCCTTCTCACTCCCTTGTCCTTCCTTCCAAAAGCACACTTCGAAAGCAATATAACACTGATACTAGAGAGTCAGCATCACGGGGGGTGGGGGGTGGGGGGGTCTCGCGTGGGGATGATGACGCTGACGCCGACGAGGAAGATGACTTCGGCGGCGAGATGACTTGCGAAGCTCGCGTTCCCTGCCGTGGTCAAGGCCAAGGTCACCGGCGCGGACGAGCTGCTCCTGCGTCTTCTGGGTCTGCTCGGCCTTCCCGCGACACCCCCCCCCCCCCCTTTCGAGCCTCCCTCGACCTCCGGGTCTTTCCCTTTCTTAACTCTTTCCCCTCTTCCCTCCCTCACCCCTTCCCTCCTCCCTCCCCTCCTCCCTCCCCTCCTCCCTTCCGTCCTCCCTCCCTCGCCCCTTCCCTCCTCTCTCCCCTCCTCCCTCCCCTCCTCCCTTCCCTCCTCCCTCCCTCGCCCCTCCCCTCCTCCCTTCCCTCCCGACTCTCTCACCGACCCATTCCCCGATCTCTTTCCTGACCTGTAGTTCCATCTCCTCTCTCCCCTCCCCCCCTCCCGCACCTTCTCTGCGGGTTTTACTTTTTTTTGTTCTCTCTTTCCCCTTTCCCGATTTCTTTCCCTCGCTTTCCTTCGCCTTGTGCCCCCCCCCCTCTCTCTCTCTCTCTCTATCTCTCTCTCTCTCACACACACACACACACACACACACACA